TGATCTGGTACAATTGCTGTGTTATGCACATTAAATTTATTCTGCATGCACCCCAGACTCTTCTGTGCAATGGAGTGGTGATTGGACGTGGTGACGCAGACAGCGACACCATCGTAGACGGCTGGTTTCCTCTCGATATTGCAAGGGGCAAAAGCCTTGTTCTTTTATCGATACGGTATGCGTTCTGATCAAAGTTGTGTACCCTTGCTGCATGCTTACATGCGGGAGCTGGTCATTTAATCGCATGTTCCATTTTCTTGCACCTGTACGTTTCATGCTCGATCGCTGAATGCCAATACGAACTTGTTTTCAATACTAGATGGTTTTCACAAAGACGTATCTACAATGACGACGAAGAATATGGTGACAATATGCCAGCAAAGGATGGTGATGATGCAGCCTTTATGGACTCGGAATATGAACACACGTTGGCGTACTTCACGTGGCTTCAGCGCCGCGCTGTTCGTGGTCAAGATGGTGAGTACCCGTAAATTGTACTGCACAATGGTTCGTGCTGTAGGTGGCTCTCGTAGTACTGTTTTCATGTAGACATACCTGCCGTCCAATGATTCGCTCCGCACATGGCCCTGCACACATTGCGAAATAATGCGAAGATGTCAATGTTCTACAACGGAATGGCTTCGGAATGTTCAAGGGCACATCTGTTACATACCTCAGGCAACACATATCCTGACACGCCATGCTCTGATATTGATCAATTGTTTTCACTACTGCACAGGCCGGTATATCGACCCGCCAGCGGCTGTCACCGACAGCACAGCGAATCCAGATCTTCAGAACGCTGAGGATATGATAGACGCCTCGTGGGTGGAAGTATCGTCTTCAAATCTGTGTGAGGATGATAGTAATAGTCATATGCAAGAATCCGCCCTGACTCTCGCTTCAGAAGGTGAATGAATACGGATTATGCGCGTAAACGTACTCTCGAAGGCATGGACGAATTTCCAGAGACCTCACCAAAGCGGCATGCATTTCCACCCCTAGTTTACCAAAATTGTTCATCCACCAAGCTTCGCGCGATACCCCTCTGGGAGCCGACCATACAGGCTCGCATCATACACTCACATACATTTTACATACTTCAAGATGTGGATTTCTCACACACAACCACTCTTCTTATCAGATGCTGAAGGTAATCCTGCAAATGATGAGGACCAAAATGCGACACCGAAAGGAAAAGGTAAGCTACGAATCTGCGAGCAAATTCGACTGTCGCTGCAACTAGCTCATTTTGTGACCTTGATTCACAGGAACTTCACCAGCGAGTTGAATAATACTGTTCTGTGGCTACTACTTGCTATTAATTACTTAATCTATAGAGGAGAGCTCATGCACTACGCCGCATCGTGTAAGCCAAACTAGCTCTGGAATCACTCGTGCGTCGAGAATGGAATCGTATCGAGCGTTTGAGGCTTATCAGGAGGAGTGCCAAGGTATTTTTCGAGTATCTGATTTGTCCTTGTGCGTGAGGTGTACATCCTTAATAGAGCTGTAGTGGAAATGTATTACCTAAAAAAAATATAACAAATTAGTGCAGACCGCCCTGCTTCGTTTGTGGTATTTTGTTAGAGCTGTCCGATGAAAGATATACATATGGAAGACATCGATTCCTCTGGCGACCCCCACCTTTAGTTGTACATTTTGTCATTCGCACGTGCTCCCGATTTTGTCTTGTCTTTGCTTGTCAGCAGTTCAGTCCTTGCGCTCGCACAATCCATGAGTGAGCCAGTGGGCTTGTCGGGGACTCGATTGTCTTGTCGTGCTTAAGCAGTAAGCTATACTGCACAACCTAACAGTTGGTAGTTGGCGCTAGTCTCCATAAGATATTAAGAAGCAATACTTTAAAAAGAAGAATTTGTAAGTGATAGAGTATATATAACCCTTCCGCATAATTGCATATTATATTGCATATAGGTAGATAAACATAACACCTACCCGTCTTATTCCCAACGCAGCGCACGAAGATGTACGTAGGGACAGTAGGAAGCCATATACGAGCGAGCCGGATGCAACAAGTGCAGCGTCCAGTAACATACTACAAGTAAGAACCTGTCAAGAATAGGCTTGCATGCAGGTGTGTAAAATTTAACATTTGTGCGAGCGACATGACGTGTGTTGCGTACAGCACGCAGGTATGAACATATCCTTACTGGTACATTCATATGAATATATACTCTGCTGTGATTTACTTTATAAGCCGAGCTATGTGGAGTCAGCTATGTACTTTTCGCGAATACCACAAGGCCTTTCGCTCATATCTCTAGTATAGTACGTGGTGTCTACTTCAGCCGCGCCATAGTTTCCACTATATCGTCTACTTGCACGCAATGTGGTACTTACATTGCTGCCAGTGTGGTCATGAAAGAGGAAATATGCGTTGCCTATGCCGAGTATAATATATCGAACTTCCCTTTTTCAATTCATTCAACTCTGAAATACTATCCTTCAATTCTAACAATAGGCAAGCGGGATCCAGCCAGCAAGCCATGCAAATTCTAATCTGGCCGCAAGGCCGAGTGCGTCTAAGCTCTCGGCACAAAAGACTCTAAATAAGTTGGTATGTATTTTACATCGGATGCGAGGTATGGAGTCTTCTCGAATCTAACTGCGTGCACTGACAGTCTCTTGTTTCACCCTCCGTTTGCGAGCCATATTATTCAGTGCTTGCTTGCGATAAAGCGTTTATTTCGAGAGCTGCCATTTTGACGGCCCGCGGTCTGGCCTTGCTTTGCTCGTCTATATTCCCGTAGACTATATGTTAATACATTAAAGTATATACTGTCATCATCACAGGAATCGCACGGAACTCGGCGTTCATTAGGAGGCATTGGTGATAGACCTCGTGCGAAGGCGAAGAGCGCGCGAGAAAGCCAAGGCTCAAGATAATGGATGGGCCACCTATACGTGATAATCTATGCGCTCTAGAAGGCTAGGTGTTGGTACCGTATCTGCCCCACCTGACAAGTTTGCTAGAGAGCCTGCAAAGGTTATTTGTGATGTTGCGCGAATTTTGCATTGGATGTAGTTATTTTTCAAATATTGTACCATGGAACGCGACACCAGCAGCTCTCCTGATGGAATACTGTCAATGATTCCCTAATTATTGTAAGTTTCAAGCCATCCAGACCGACAAATGTACCCAAATGTTATTGAAGGGATAATTGGGTCGAGGGTGTCAGCATACCAACAAGTATATCGGCCCAAGTATGGGTTTTTTTAATTGCGTCGCTTTTGGAACAGTTATGGCGCAATTGGGGTTCATTTAATTCTATACGCGCCTAGAAAGTTGGTTCGTTGTTCACGGGCAAAAGACTGTGTTCTGGGCTTACATTAGTAAACATCCTTCATCGTTGGATGTCAGTCGCTTGACTGAATGCATCATACCACTGGTTGCCACCAATGATACACAGACCTCATGCAAAATTGTGGTGAATACAATGACGACGTTGTGCAGCGAAGGACATGCGTTACGTGATGCTTAACTCCATACCCACAGCACCGCCATGCGAAACACCAGTGGAGCGCAAACTGAAGTGGTAGACACTACCTCACTAAGCACAGTATCAATAGTAATGAGTTTGAAACAGCACTATTGACTCGAATATACCTCCGTGTATTTGGCGGCTGTGGTATTCAAGGGGCTTACATTTATTTATTCCAAAGTAGTCGGTTGAAAAAAGAAAGCCGCTGCCAATTCCGAGCACTTTCCAGATCTGAGCCCTCATACGCAATAGAGGGGAGAGAATCCAGGGCTGTGCTCTTCAAATGGAAATTTTGCTACAGCATCAGGTGGCAATGTATGCGAGGCCTCCACATCCACAATAGATTTTCCGGCGCTTCAAGGTTGACTTGCGCGCGTGGTTTTTCGCTGTAGCCAGTTTACACAACCGACGCAGCGTTTCTCTATCGAACTACCATCATTTGCCGCCTTGTGGTTACCATTTGCTGAACCTGTGAATTTGTCTCGTGCAGCTGTAAAGTATTCTGGAAACCGCAATTGCAACATATGCGAATGGCCTCGGGCACTGCGCCCATAATTTATCGAAGCCTCTCCACACTCCTAGCAGGACCCACTACTGGAGCTCTTGATACCCACGCAAAGTCGACTGAGAAAGCACCTACATATCGCTGGCAGATTACTAGTGTTAAACCTACAGTTGCAAACGAACAATACTTATTGCTTGCCTACTCTCTAGCCAACATCACCTAGCTAGAGAACGCACTATAGAACGTTCTCCAGTCGCCAAAAGCATGCCATACCTGGCTGGATACAAACATCTCTGGGTATGCCGCAGCAGCATAGTCTGCAACTCAATCTTGACGGAACGAGACACGCAACAAAAATCATCAGATTGTAACAGCAACCTGACTGATCACTGGCGATCAGATTATCCAACCCCTGTGACGCATTGTCACATTACAGACTGTTATTATGAGAGTGAATATCTGGTTCATCATCCGAGGCACAACATTTATCTTCCGCCATGAACTACAATCGCACCAACTACAGTCTCTTACATGTAATTAATGTGGGTATTATCCTATACTTAAGCACTACTGAGTCTGTGGCATCACCTCCCCGGAATTTTTGCCATAAACAGATAACAGTCAAGCTCGGACCATTCGCGTTCTATCAGATCGAAGCCTGCAAATGAGAAGCTTGCCAACTCAATATCGCTATTCATGTCAATTTTTGTAACCTTCGTTTTCTTGACTCTTCGCTTTTTTTTGTCACCGACGATCTTACTCTTAACAACCTCATTCACAACATAGGTGCCGATATTGGCACTCTCTAATTCACTATACGCCAGTTCTACACACTTCTCGAACTCCTGTGCATATTTGCCTATGGCCTGCTGGTCCAGCCACATTTCTTCGACCATTCTGCCTGTTGAAAAGCACGTTACAATCAAAGCTCCTTCCACATGAATATCGGAGTAGGCAGCATCGTCTTTTGTCCCGGTCACATATGCGGACAGTTGCAACGGAGTCTCGTGGTGATCTTTTACCGTGAGCTTCCGTTTGGCCTGAAGGAAGAACCGTGATAAAAATAAAAGATGTTCCAGATGCGTAGCGATCGTGAAGGACATGGACACAAATCTCGGTGCGGCCAACGTGCAACCACTCAAGTGCTATCCACAAATGACGCGGATACAAAAAAGCGTCTGACCCCACAGGCGAATGCCAATGTTGCACTTGAAAGCACACTACACGCCATAGGGCAAACAGATTCAAATCACCTGCTAGTGATGAACAGTCTGAATAGTAGTCGACTTCCAACACATAATGTCCTAATAACAATAAAGGCCTGTGCGTGAAATAAAATCTTGTCGAGTGCACATAACCAAACTCTGCATCCCGATACGTACCTTCTTCTTAGCAGATGTTTTCCAATCGATTAACACGCATTTTCCATCTATTTTCGCAATACAGTCAAACCGCCCAGCAATACCTTTTTCGACACTGAATACATCACTCTCAATGGCATAAACCTGCAGTGGAGTAGTGAATATGATAGTAGCGTTTCAGACAATGTTCTCCAATGTTAATCTTCGCCTGGCCGAAGCTTCAGAAAGGGCATGATGATGCAGCGCAGGAGCTGGAAGTACAACGAAGTTATTTGCATTCGGTAGTGTGTTAGTGAATGGATGCTTTCTTGCAAGGTGCCAATCATACCTTTTCAACCCGCGCGAGCACCGGTCGAAGACTGAATGCGCACTCTGCAAATCTCACATCATCCAACTCAGAACTTGAAAGTTTATAGCTTCTATTACCGGTTAGAAAGTCTTCGGCATACTTGTGCACCCTTGTACCTGCCCACGATATGATACATTGGAAATAGAAACTTTTCATTTGTGGATTTGACACGGAGAACAAAGTTTGCCTACAAGCGCACACATCCCCAGTTACCCGAGGTCACTTCACTCGTCGGGTTTAGATCACGCTTGCTATCGTTTTTTGCCCAAAGTTTGTGCGCAAAAATGCAGCCAGTATAAAACTGAGTTGCAATCTGGAATGGGGATGTACACGGTGGCTGTGGGCTCAGCATGAACCATGTTGTTTGACTACAATTTTGCATACCGTTGTCGAGTGTCATGTTTCGGGCGGCTTGATAACTGGATTCGCCATATACCTGTTTCATTCTATTTTTCCACTTATTCAGTTTCGATCCCGTGTCTTTCCTCTTTGAAGCCTGTGCTGGCCGTGTAAATATCCGATAATCAAAGCTTATTATTCCAATACAACAGTCTTCTGGATATGAGCATATGAGTCTTCGGGATAGATGGCACTCGCTTTACGATTAGCTACAGCAGATCCACCATATGCAGCCAAACCATTCACCACATGCTCAGTAGTATGATATATTTTTTAGAGCACTAGTGGTTCGACTAGTGATGAGAAACACAAGTAGAATATGATATACCATCTAATTGGTCGATACCTGAATTAATACACTGCACGTGCAGCGTATGAATGTACAAAACATGAGCTTGTCTGCCTACACAAGTATGCAAGTAAACACATGATTTTAACGCAAGTATCATACCATTATATCCTTATGATTTGCTGTTCAGAACATAGTAGATATATCAGTGGCAGTTGCTATTTACTGTACATAGGACCTTCAGGTATAACTTTTATGAGAAAGGAGTGGTTCGATCAGGGGCTTTGGGTATGCTTTCTGATGTGTCGGTGACGAATATTTATCATGTGTATGTTGTGATAGCAACGCGCAATGATAGTTGGATCGATACAAGTAAGCTAGGCGATCCAAAACTATATATATACCCACACACTCTCTCATACACGCACAAACGGCTCTCATGACAGGTGAACAGGTAGCTGGAAGCGTGTAGAAATACGATTGTATTGTCTTTTTGACGGAGACTTGCAGTTTTTTTAAACGTCCTTAATGAGGGGTTCTGAATATTTTTGTCAGGCGCAAATCAGTGGGAAATGAGTAGGAGAACTTGAGTACTATAAACGTTGTATATTACAATCTCCGCACTTCCCTAAGTGCTTTTGGCACTCGTAGACATATGTTAATGCCAAACAATCTCATCATGATGTAAAATATATAAACATCAAAACAGAATGACGCGTACTCTGAGCCTTATCAACATACATCGATTACGCTGGTCACACTCAGCAGTCCCGCTGCTCCCTCAACGGGGAAGTAGAATCGATCGCCATATACAGAGGAAACACTGCCGCGCGTGAGCGACATAGGGCGCTCCTGCTCTGCACCTATCCTGAAGCCGAACGCGTCGCATATTCTGTCGATTTCAATATCTCTGTCCGCTAATACGCTCACATTAGTGTCCTCTGTATCACCTGTATTTCCTCTTTGTTGACCCGCAGCACTGACGTCAACAAATGTACTCGTACTGCTGTGAGATCGCGTCCAACACGAGCGAACCAACCAGGGGGTCTTCGATGTGTAACGGCAAGACGACAGCATTATATACTTATGTGTAGGTTTCAACTACTGTACATAAACTATTAAATGATGATTTCTTCCGATGCCGTTGCACAGAATTCAACTATTAATACTTCTTTACCTCAATCACTTAAGCATACGAAGATTGACACGCACAAACTCAGAACCCCGAACTCGCACGACGAACATCTAAAAGCCACGGCAAAGGTCGCATGCCACAATCTGTTTTAAAAGTCGTTCCGGTAAACAGCTGATGTGATGCTATTGTCGAACGCGCAATACATCCTCCGTCCGATATGTAGAGTAGTGTGGATGTGTAGACCAGCTGGTGTGTAAAGTAACGATTATTATTGTTGTGACCAATATTTACAAACAAGTATGTACATACTCGCATACTATGACGTCATTTCGATATCTATGGCAAATTATACGCTTCTTTACACTTCACTCCTTTTGGACTTGACATAAGTGTAACACTAAGCTAAGTACTAACACTAAGCTATGTATCAAAGCCACCGGCATAAAAGTAGTCACTATAGAAAGGCATTTGCGTTGATCCGGTGCGCCATGTAGAAAAACTGGATGTGCGAATTCAGACTATACACTGTTATTTACCAGTATTGGTGCCCCATTTGTGAGCGAGTAAGCCGCTATCCACTACGATTTGAAATATTTCCAACTCGTATGCGTTTTCCTCAGGACCAACTCGCTGAAGAAAAATTCCTGCAAAGCCGGAGAATCAGCTTAACACATTTACATGAGTGACCCGCCGGTCAAAACTACACCTTTGTAATTTCTTTTGTGCCGTTGGGTATTCTTAACGTTGATATTAAAATGCTATTGCGATCGCTTTCAAGCTATGTGGCTCGTTAGAACAGTTCGTAATATGTGTGTTTCGCTACTTTCATTCTGTCATATCCCAGAATAGTTTACAAAGTAAGCCATTGAAGAGAAATCCCTGGAAAGCCGAATAATCAACGTGAACACAATTACATGAGCAACATGCCGGTCAAAACCACGCCAACGTAAATTATTGTGTCGTTATGAGTGTCAGTCGCTAATGAGCTCACTGAAACCGGTGTAGCAGTGTACTCTTGAAAGTTGCAATGACTATATCTCCCTCCCCAACGTGTCTAACGACATTTTCTTAACGTTGCTATTATAAATCTAGTGCAGTGGCTTTCAAACTATGTGGCTCAATAAAAAAGTGCATATTTTTCAACATGTGATTCGCCACACACTGTCATAATACAGAATGGTTTGTTTACATATTAAGTTCATTGTTTGAGCCGCTGTAATGTTAATATAAGAGAACAGCGGCTCTAACTAGAATCACAATGGTCTCATAAAAATATGACATAAAGTGCACGGGAATGACTGATCTTAGGCTTAGACCGATTCCTGAATGATCATGAGCATTGACGCTTATTTGGAAAAGATGTCAGTTAGAAACAAGAATTGAATGTCACTTGTCCTTTTTTAATGCGACATTAGTTCATTTAGTCTCCTAATCAATTAAATACCGTGATTAGGTCACAAAAGAATCATTTCATATAATCTCGAGGCATCATGAACACAATGCAGAGTTATCGGCTGAACTAGGGGGCGAAGCTATAATCTTGGATGGACAGTCCATCCGAGTACGCATCTGCCTCGAGGCAACACCGACCACTGCTCATGAACTTGGCTGAACGGCATTATTTGAAGGTCTCATTTAAACCTGAATTGCGCACTGGTTCGACAGTTGCCCAATGTGTCAGGACAGAATAGTTGTGACACGCCAATCCGTCAGGGTTGATAGTCTGGTTCGGTTGGCGTGATCACCTCCACAGGTGGTATTTCTTCCTCGCCTCGGCAGCCCGTTAGTAGATTATTGTGCAGGCTTAGTTATCAATGTCCACTGTACACGTGCAAGCGGCACGTCTTCTTGGCAACACTCGACCGTGAGTATTGATCGGCATTTACTGTTGCTAATTTCAATGCTATCGCCTATGACTTCCAGCTCACGGATGAGTACGGTAAGTATACCCATGAAGTACTACATTTGCGAACGCACGAATCCTAATTTCCCCCATCACTTTGTAGCACCTGCAAGTCGTTTCTCAATTTCTCCAGCAATATTTTGTTGTTGTTCTAGATGTGACCTCAAAGCCGCGAGCGGATTTGCCCTATACGCCGAGTTGGACACGATGTTTTGCAAGCGCTGAGATTCATTTACGAGTGCGTATTGCCTGCCCTTTCGCGAAGTGATGGGGCGAGATGCTAGTGCACTCGCTTGCGCTTGAAGCTGTTTGATATCGATTTCCTTGACCTGTAACGTCGTAATAATATATAATTTGAAATCAATATCATGTCTGCTCCCCTTATAGGCATATAAAAGTCCCTTAGACTTGTCCCGTATATTAGATAAAGCACATGATTTACTAGCTCCACAATGGATATTGATTGAGGGTTATCCATGCTAACTTACACGAACAGAGAAGAACCAATGGCTCAGTGTAACTATGACTATAAATAAGCCGTCACATTCCGCGTGCCCCAAGACGGGACAAAAACGGGTTCTGGAATTTTGGTTTGGTTGTCATCAACACCATTGAATCCTCTCGTCAAAACATAGCTTCAAACATTAAACAATACCATATGGCGAAGTATTAGACAAAAGCCAATATTGCTTCAAAGTGTGTAGAAAGTAAAATCGAAAATGCTCTGAAGGCTCCGTCCGCATGATGAGCTAAATCTTCAGGTCAAAAATTATGACAACCTCGATAGCGACGTTCGTATGCTGTAAACAGTTGGAGAATACACATATTTACGCACATACCACACTGTCGATGTCTCCAAGCGAGTCCAACATAAGCTCAAATCCCCCCTTCATTAAAGGATTCCTTTTCCTTTTCTTCGCCACCTCGACTTTGACTTTTTTCGCTTTAGAGTCTTCGATTTCTGCAAGTTAAAGACCAATGTTTAGTACACAGTAGTATACTACAACATTGTATGTATACGGAAAAAAATTACATACAGAATAAGGAACTTCCAAACATATGACAAAAGAAATATCGGTTGTCAATAGTCCACGTAATGCTGCCTGATTCTGACTTCAAATAATTTCATGTGTAAATGGACTACATTCAGTGGTAGTTGACGAGATACATCGAATAATTTCATAAGAGTGCCCGATCAAAGTAAGTGAGTAGAAATATGGCTCAGTGTAACTATGACAATATTATACCATCATATACCGCTTGTTCCAATACGGAACAGAGTCGGGTTCCGCTGTTTAAATTCAGTGTCATCATAGCCAATTTCTACAAGCTACTATAATTTAGTGCCCCATCATATATTCGTTCAGCTGGTTAATTGAAAAAAACCTCTGCTGTATAATTTTCAGAAATAAAGATACTATCAATTGCAATAACATCATGTAATAAATTGAGCATACTTTGCATGAACGAAGCCTTCTTTTCGATCTTCTTGTCGAGTCGCGTAGGACGTTTGTATATTCCCCCAGTCTTTTGACTGAGGCCACCGGCTTTTGCAGCCTGGGCAGTTGCCGCCGACTTCATTAGACTTTTCCGTTCCTTCTTTGATTTCCCCATCTTGTACTGTGGATTGTAGTATAGTATGGCTGTAGCACCACCCGTCACCCGATTATATTTTCAAAAATACTTATTTTTACGACGAAGTACACTGATTTTAATTTTGATCAAGGTCCGTTTTTACGGGTTATTTTATCCCCATGAGGGATCCGTGATACACATGTAGCACGTGTGTGTGACTGTCTATCGAGTACCGGCTACTGCCGAGTGTCGACTGTCGAGTGTCGACTGTCGAGTGTCGACTGTCGAGTGTCGACTGTCGAGTGTCGACTGTCGAGTGTCGACTATCTCTACTACATTTGTACTGTTTTTTTTTGTTTTTTTTTTGAAGTAATATTCAGTAAAATATAGTGTCGAGAGTTACTTATCGAGAATTCGAGACTCGAGACTCGAGTGTCTGCGAGAGTGGTCAGTCGACTCACGGACTCTCGACTCACGACTGCCTCAAGTGCCAACTGCCAACTGCCAACAGTGCCAAGCCTAAAAGGCTAATAAAAAAAATGGGAAATGTAAAGGCCAAAAGCCTCCCAAAAAAAGGTAAAAAATAAAAATATAAAGTCCCTAAGTGAGCTCAGATGGACCCTAACATAATTTTGTCCCGATTTTGACCTTTTTTGGGATTCCGTTTTCAACGTACATAATGAATTCAACGCTTTCATATCCCTGATTCCCAGCTCCTAGGAGAGGGGAGAACTGGACTATATTCATACTGCCATATTGGGGATAGTGCAGACTGCAGAGTGCAGACTGGCAGCCTCTCTCCCTTGTGTGTAGTAGCTGTAGAGGGCAGCGGAGCCTTGAAAGTTGTGAGAAGTGGAGGGTTGGAGACATGTCTTATTTATTGTAAAGTTGGACTGAATACGCCAATATATAGTCTCCAACAATAAATACAGCCAATCAATTGTAAGATAAAGAAAATATTTTCTCAAGATAAGGGGGGCCGAGTTGAGGACTCAGGGCCCCCAAGGGACCTAAAGGAGTTGAGGACTGAGGACTGAGGACTCGGAGTGAGGACTGTAGAGTCTGGTCACTCTGGTCAAGGTGACGGTGGTGAGAGTAGAGGAGCAGTCATGTCGTGTTTCAACTTTCACACAAGAAGAGACTCTGGACTCTGAACTCTGAGTGAGAGAAGACAAGAAGTTTCTGTTTTTGTCTGTTATTTTTTTGTTTTTCGGTGTTTTGTATTTGTTTGTTTGTTCTCTTTTTGTTTTTTGTTTTTTGTAATTGTTTTAGAGACAAGAGACTCGAGAGTAGTAGAGAGAGAGTATGTACAGAGAAAAAAATATATATATAAAGGCTGACGCCTGACGCCCCTGACGCCCCTGACGCCCCTGACGATCAATACAACGAATTGGTACATGTTACAAAATAAATACATCTTTTTTTATATACCAGAGTAGTTGGTGCCTGGTGGTAGCATATTGTATAAAAAAAATTTAAACACAAATGCTTTCTACACTAAAATACTAGTAGTCCGCCACAAAACGTGGGAGTGTTGTAAAAGTAAGAAATAATAAATACCTATTGTATGAACTATATTATAAAAAACATCAAATAAATACTGACCAAGAGAGATAATATTAAACATATTGTATTTATTATTTATATATATATATATATATATATATATATATATATATATATATATATATATATATATATATATATATATAATAATAATATATAGACAGAATA